TATATATATATATATATATGTTAAGAAATTGCAAACAGATCGTCAAGATGCGCTGTTAGCATTGCATTTATTGAAAATATCTAAAATTTAAAATAAACTCGCGATAGTATGAAAAATTATTACAACAATTTATTTGTTGATAAAAACAGATCGTGTTTTTATGAAAATTTTAATACTCTAATTAATTATAAAACTGGGTATGCCGTGAAGAATGTAACTTAAGAAATTAATATCGGAAATGTTCATAATTATTGTATTAGTAGTATATTTATTAGATTAAACTATTTTGTCGTACGAATAGTAAAAATGATGCACAGCTATGATTACTTTGATGATTATTCATCTTTTCAAGATTTCGATGCATTCAGAATTCTATCGACAAATACACCAAGGGTTACAAAGCGTCGTCTATATAATCTAAATAAATTCTATTTAGATTATTTTATTAACAGATACTGTTTATGAGTCTTAGGATATTGATTGTGAGTCGTGTTCGATTCCACGACATTCTCGTCATGTAGAGATTGTTAATGATGTGCTCTAAGGAGGCTAAAAACAATATTTATCTCGGATATATATGAAATATGTTAACAATTTTTTGGGGAAGCTGACATAAAGAAAATAAATATTCAACTCACGTTATATATATTCATTTCTTCATCTTCTAAAGTTTCCACAATTCCTGTGGATTTTCGTCTTTGGGTTTATAATTTTTCCTTCTATATTCCATGTATAGAGTTAGACTGTTGCAAATCATAGTATATTAAGTTACTGCCACAAATATAACTTTTGTTATAAAATATTGAATTTTTTATACCTGATATACGTAAGTAAACGCATTAGAAATGTCCATACCGAAATGTCTCGCAAAGACTTTTTCCAAAGATATTTACGATATGGACATATTTTGAATCATAATTTATGGTATAAATCCGTTTCTTTTCTTTCGTTTAAGAAACGAGATTATGTGTGTGTGTGTGTGTGTGTGTGTGTATGTGTATGTGTGTGTATGCGTGCGTGCGTGTGTGTGCGCCTGCGTGTGTGTGTGTGTGCCTGCGTGTGTGTGAACAGATTTTAATAAATTTTAATAATGGATGAGTAATAAAGTTTCATTTCTTTACTCGTCCAAAGGACTTGCGAGTTGCCAAGTAATTAATATTAAAATTAGATCTTAAGTTATTCTTACATGTATACACGTGTAAAAATTTATAATACGCTTAGATTGAGTAACTTTAATTCACAAGCGTAACATGTGTACGATCAGCACTGAAAACTAGATAAAACGTGGCATCGCCTGTCAACGAATGAAAAACATTCGAGCAAAAGTAAGGCGATATAATACGACTATTTAGTTAAAATATTACGTTTATATATATATATATATGTAATATATATAAATATAAGTAAATAATAATGGCAATAAAATAATATATTTACAGCACCTTGTGAATATAGGATTTTTTAATTCCCAATTATAATTTATTCTGTATACAAAAATACATTAACTACCTTTATTGATTAATAAGGTAACTAAATAGAGATTTATATATGTGAGAGTAATTGAATGGTTTACAACTTTTGGACACCTTGCGTATTACTATACCTTATACATTAAATAGATTACGCTGCAAATATAAACTAATGACTGCACACGATTTTACATATAACTTATTGAATTGCCTCGTTTTCTTTCTACTTAGTTTTTCACATTTTCAATAAATTTTCTTAACAATACTACATTGATCATAGTAACAACAGTATGACAAATGTGATAAAACATCATGATAACATTATCATTCATACCTTGTTGAGAGTTGCTTAACATTCATACAGCACACGTGAAACAAAGCAAACCTCATTTCATAACCAGACCCTACGTAAATTTATTATTTGCTGTTTTACATAATATCATAATATAATATTTTGGCACTTTAGATTTTCGCAACTTAAAAAAAAAGCTATCAAAGTAAACTTTCAACAATGAACTATACTCGTATACTTGTGTATAATTAAAAATTTCTCATTTTGCTATAATATATTTTTTGTTAATATTTTTATTTATTTGTTACCTTTAATTTTTATTGATTATAATAGAATGATCATACTTTCACATTTTGTAATTTTATTTTATTTATTTACTTCATATAAAATTTTCTATAGGATTCTACTTATCTTTAGAAGATTTAAGTAAGTAGATAATAAATATAAATAATATTATTAATAATAACATGTTAACATTTCTTAAACACTATATTGTAAACCATTTTTACTTTGTTGAAATTTCAACTTTATTATTACCTAGTCGCATGTTGAGCAACTGTTGTTAAGAGAATCCCAAATACCAAAAAAGGAGATAAAAACAGAGAAAGAAATTACAAAATATAAATACATCGATTGATAAATAATAAACGCAGAAATAGGTTTGATTATCTTTGACTAAATCTTCGGCGTATCGCCTATGTTTTTGCCTATAAAGGCCTGAGCTTAAGTTTCATTATGACGAAGCACAACTCTATATAGAGACCATAATACGCGTTAAACGAAAACGGCACGAGTACTACAATTTATTGTAAAATAATGCCGCTGATACTACCACGTTAAGAAAACGTAGCCTTTATATAGAGTCGTGCTTGCGACACTCGATAGCCTCTATGAAACCTGAAGATTCGCAATTTCGAAGACCAGTCTACATAAATTCCCTTCCTGGCCTTCTGGTAAAAAATGTTCCGCTATATGTGCACGACTCGCTCAAAATTCTGAATACATGTAAAATATACATACAAAAAAATACTGTCAGTTAATGGCCAAAAAAATATTGAAAATAATACAAACAATTTCCATCCGTTTACCGCTAATTTTTTGTCTTGACAAAGTTGTATTCGCTAAGACTAATTTCTTTTTCTCTGCACGATTCGCATTCGTCTTACGGAAGTGCTGACCTCCAACGACGTGTCAACGATATCGCCCAGGAAACCATGTAAACCGGTTTTGAAGAAGAGGACCAAATGAAATTCGACGGTCCCTCTTCCAGAATTGAGATATCGGAATCACCGAAATTCGAGATGACTCGTGGACAAATATTTCTATGAGTAGAAGCATGTTCTCGAAGATTTCTTCGTCGCGCCATTCTGTTCGACGTTAGAAAACGCCGTGGATTTCCTGGTCCTCGCCGAGAAGGGCCTGAGACGCATAAAAAGATAAGCGGACAACACGCACGAGGAAAGTAGAACGGCGAGTAGCACGATGAGAGTAATCGCAAATCCAGGAGTGGTCATGCAGATCATGGTCGAGCTGGCTGTATTTTCGTGACGTTGCGGGAACACCATCGTTGGTCCATTCAGTTCGCTGTTGTTGTTCTCATCGATGGAAAAGGTCAGGTCACCGGTCGAGACAACTCGAATAATTCGATTCACACCAACGGCCTTTTGCGGATTGTGCACTATCTCTCGGGATTTTCTTCTCCTTTCGTCTCGGGGCCGTCCAGCCGCTGCCTGTAAATAAGCCTCCAACGGCAGCGGGATCGGTGGCGGAAGACCGTATCCGACGTCAGGATGTTCATTCGTCGGGGAATGATGATGGTGATTCTCTAGAAGACCCTGACTCTCCAAAAGCGACGACGATTCCGAACACTGTTCCGGACATTGATACCGACATATCTGTATGGTACATTGAAAGTGTACCTCCATGGAGTCCGGAAACTTGAACGCCTGGAAATGAGCGTACGACAGCACGGACGCCGAAGCGCCGAAATTCTTGATTTTTGTAAATCTAGACATCAATTTAGGTCGCGTGATACAGCCTCGCTGATCCACCAGTTGTATCGGGGCGCGTTTGCCATCGTGAGCCATGCAATTTCTCACGAGCATATCGAACTTGGAATCGTCATCCTTAATCGCGAGTACCATCGTCATAGTCTGACCGATCTTGACAAGCCCCGAAACCTCGGAAGCCCACGGTCCCTTGCCAACTTGTATCTGCATCCAGCATCCGACATTATCACCAGCGAAATCCGCGCGAACCACATCCAGCATATCCACGGGAAACGGACGGAAGGTGACCGATTTCTCATACAGATCGTGCCAAGTGCAGCGCAGTTTGCGCGCCTGATCCCAGACTTCTTGCACCTGAGGATCGTATTGTACCACTATGATGTTTTCGAAAAACGTCCCGGATCCAGATTCGGCGCCGTAACCGTACAATCCATTCTCCGTATTGCCGGCCGTACCGCACGCGTGTATGCTGATGTCGAAGTTGACGGATGTGCGACCAAGTCCCGCAGGCAGGTGTACGCAATTAATATTGCTGTAGTGGCCTTTACTAAAGACTATGCCGTAGAACGGCTTGTCGAAACCCAGATAGACCTTCATCAGACTCTTCTCGCATTTCACATCCAGCGACACGATCTTCGGCATATCGGGCGTCGGCGCCGGCCAAGGTTCGACGCCAACCGCGGTACTGGCTCCGCCGCCCGTGGTATAGATCTTATCCATAGCTTCCGATTGCGCTTTAGAAGGCGGCAATGGCGGCGGTGGGCCATGGTAAGCGACATTATGATGCGGACGCGGTAAACTCAATGCACCTCGACCCGGTGGTAATAAAGGATGACCTCGAAGGCCACCCGATTTATAATGGTTTCCTCCCGTATCCTTATCCGCTATGGAATCCAAAGCTAATTGATCGGAATTAATTAACTCGTTATCTTGATGATTCAATGCTGAATTCTCGTTTCGATTATCTTCTCCCGGGATCGCCTCCACAACCTCGACTTCCTCGGCTCGAGCCAGCTATAAAAACACCAATAATTGTTGACAATAGATGCGAATTACGTTTTTGAGCTTTTAAAAGATATCATAAAGAATAGTTTTAAGTTTGAACAAAAGACGATGGAAGTTTCAAATTTTTTATATGGATGGTACTGATGGTGTAGAAATTTATTAAATTCTTACGAAACTAAATATATGTATGATAGAAAACGTTTGTTTCTTTTTAAATCATTAATTAATAAATTGTGTCACTCTCGACTCAACGTTATCTAATGAGGCTACATTACCACACCGAGAGCTCGTTCGCAAATTTCATTTTTAGTCGCATTGATCGCTTTCTCTCTCTCTCTCTCTCTCTCTCTCTCTCTCTCTGATATATAGAAATAGCGTTTCAGCTAAATTTTATACATTTATCGAAAAAACGGCCATACAACGGTATTCGTTTCTCACGCGCTCAATGGGAAACCTAAGTGTGTCAAGCTCGACAGAATCGCACTGCGCCGAGAAATGCGGTATGGGCTCGATCGTTCGATTATCCGATCGGACAAATGGAGCGATCGTCGAAAGAGTTATTTCCGGTGGCACGGCAGCCGAGGGCAACACGGTGCAGAGGATGGCGAATTGCCGGCGGCGATAAACCTGTTCGGAGTATTCAACGAATGTGGAGTTCGACGATTCGATTGACTCGACGGTGGGGGACCATAGGGGGTTACGAGGTAGGGAGCCCGCGGAATAGGAGCATTGAGGAGCGTGTGTATAGAACTGTACGTTATAGTGGTACGATTGCGTCACGCGTGACCTTAGGGCATAACGGGCTACCCGTGTCTGTAGCCACGGGTCAATCGGCCAGTTCCGCGCATATGTTCGCGGTGCGACTCTCCTTCTCGCCCCCTACCATCCGTCTGTTTACTCGTCCCGTCTTGGATTTTCAATGTGCGCGTCCCATAATTCGACCAAGGCCTACCAAGTCACTTGCGCGGGGTCTCAACGACGTCGGTTCTCAAAGAAGCCGCGACAACCGGCAATTTATCATGAATGACGTGCATCGTGCCATTTATATCAAACACGTTTTGTTCAAGTGTCGACACGCTACTCAATACTTCGTCTTTGATCATGACAGTTTGGTCGCTTTCTATCGGGAACAATAAAAATTGCAAATATATATATATATATATATGTATGTATATAAACGTTGCACATTATACGCCCGAAAATTTATCATATTTATTATTATTGCGTGCAGGGATATAAAGCACATGTGAGAAGGAGAAAAGAAGAACCCGCAAAACAACAAAAATTAAACGTACAGAAAGAGTTAATTTGACTTTGATAAGAAATACAGGTCGAAACGGTGCTAAATCATCATGCAAGTATAATTCATAGAGACATCGCGGAGGGTTTGGGAGCGAAGGGGAAGGGGGAGGGGGAGGGGGAACACAGACTGGATGATTCCGACGGCGATTCATTCATTGATGCGGTCTATCGCCACGCTCTTTTACAAACTTGAACCGACAATCGTCGATCGAGAAGTCGAAGCGGAAAATAAAGAGGATGCGTACATATGTGCATCGAAAAATCGTGTTGGGCCACGAGGAATGCAGGATGAAAAGGGTACACCGAAGAAATCGCGAGGCGCGCGCTCACACGAAGAAACCGGTCGTTCCACGCGCGGGATTTTTGCGCACCACCTTGTAAGAGAGCGGCCCGATGTACGATGAAACGTTACTCGGGTCCTCGGTAGACAGTAGACGAGCCGGATTGGAGCACCATTTTGAGACATCGGACCGGGCGAGTCGCCCTTAGCTCTGGGTCAGAGCACTGGGTAACGGCATTGCCTGGCCACGTGCGCACTTCACCACGATATATCTGGGTTATAATGTAGTAATTACCTATACGTAGACCGTACACCGAGACCTATCCTATCCCCCGCACAAGAGAGATCCCCTCGACCTTCTCATACCGCATTTCTCGTACCGGTGGTCTCGCACCAGACGAGAACTAATACCCGTGAAACCTCGTTTATCGTCTTTCTCTCGTCCCCGAGAACGTTCGATAGACATTTCGCTTCGAACGCCGATGTAAAAATTGTAACAATCGATACGTAACGTGTGTATCGATAACTCACGCGTTAATTTTTCACGCGTGATTCTTATTACGTCTCGCAACGATCATCGACATTCATCCAAAATAAATCTTAATTAAATAACGAATGTAAAATGTATCTATTCACTCACCCCCTTTAATAGGAGACAGGCTAGGATATAAATGCGTAACTGCATACCGCGTTGGTGTCCACGGTGGAACACTACTGGTATCACTGAAAAAAGATACAGTTTACGTTAAATATTTGAACGTTTATTATATTAAATATACGCTGTGGCATAATTCGGTATATCATGCCAAAAATTTTTTAATAAAACTAAAAGTGAAAAGTTAATTTCTAAAATAAAATACAAAAGTAGCATTTAAAACAAAACAACTGTGTCAAATGTATAATAACTTACCTGTAACGATAATCGTACAGGATCGTGAAAATTGAGAGAGACACACTCTCTCTCTCTCTCTCTCTCTCTCTCTCTCTCTCGCTCTCTCTCTCTCTCGGCTATCGTAAACGCGCGGGTTATCTTTTGTATCGACGTATTCACCAATTGCTCTACACAACTACGACCTGTAATTAGAAGTTTACGAAATTTATAATTATAAGAGTCTTTTTAAAGAGATTGGATTTAAATGTTTTATCTGAGCAAAAAAACAATTTGCAACGTTCATGTTAGATGTGTTGACTGTTAATCGTTATTCATTTCCGCTACCTCGCAGTAAAAGACACATTTACAGGACAGACTGTTGTCGAACTCGCATTTCGCTCGTTTCGCCCGTGTTTGATCGCCAATTATCAAGCAACTACATGTTCGCCTCGCGCAACCACTAAAGCCACCTGTCCCAAATTCCTCTCGAATGTCCGGGTTTTCGCTCCGTTATTTTGTTGTAAGCGTGAAACCGCGATCGCATCTATCGGTGCAAGTTAAAAATTTCACTAAATTTGCAAAAGTGTAGATACGAAATACATGTCGACATGCAAGTTTTACAGTTGTTCAGCTCAAAATGGTACAACTGTGTTTGTACAATCTGGTAATTAATTATTTAGCATAGACATTAAATGACTCTTGCATCTTTTGAATTTAAATTACGATACGTGAGATAACGAATTACAAAAAAAAAATGATTTTGTCGCACATATTCTTTATAATAAAGGAAAGAAAAAAAATGGTAGTAGTATGCCATTGACTTGTTACCGCTTCTCTACGTACATATATATTATACATACATATATACAGAATGTCCTGAAAGTTTGTTGCCAATCACTTTTGTATAGATAGATTGGATTAAACTGAGGCAAAAAGTTCTTTACCATTTTGCAATTTTCACAATAGTTAACAAGACATTAATTATTACTAAAAATTGCCAAATATTGGTCTTGAATAATTTTTGACTCAAATACTATCAACTTTACAGAAAAACTGCAAGAAACAAAAATCATTTATTTTCTTCTCATAGAACTCTAAGAATTTTTTCGGAATTTTTTATCAACTTTTTAGTACTGCATTTTCTTATTTTATCAACATGAGAAAATACGGTATTAAAAAAAAATTCTGAAAAAATTTTGAAAAAATTCTCAGAATTTTATAAGAAGAAAATTAATGATTTTTGTCTCTTGCAGCTTTTCTATAAAGTTGACAGTATTTGAGTAAAAAATTATTCAAGCCAATATCTAGCAATTTTTAGTATGTATGTTAGTATTTATATATATATAAAAAAGAGTAGGATTTCGATACTTCCTTTCAAAGAACACAAAGCATCTAATTAACGCAAAACAGGAAACGTACATATAATAATAAATGGAAAAGGAAATTAATTAAAGTCCCAAAACTGTTTTATTTAAGTGTAATAAAATACTTGCTGAGGCTCTTATCTGCGGACATAAATTGAGACACAAACGAGGAAAACAGTCATGTAAATTGCGGGTAGGTAAATTTATGTCGCGAGTAGGTACTAATTTGTCTAATGGTCACGCCGGCTTGAATGTCCTGCGTTTTAATGCTCTCTTACACAGAATATCCAGCAGAAATACCTCCGCGTATCCAAGCGTTTTTCTTTACGGCATATATAATATCATATATAAATATGTAATGTACGTGTATGATGTATACATACGATAATGTATGTATCAACGTAAACCTTGATTTAAGCCTTATCTAAATTCCTAAATTTTCTAAACCACTTAAATTTAACAAAATAAAGGAAGCTTCTCTCTTTTTTTTTTATACTGATTATATCTATCTAAATTTTCGAATTTTTAACTAGTTAAGTGTGTCTCGGTCGTTTTGAAAAATCTTTAAGAATTAAAGTGTGTAAAATTTAAAAATCCGTCCCGGTTTTAATGCTATAACGACGAACAGCACGACCGCTTTCGCGCGCGCATGAAAGAGAAAAGCCAGAGACGATATGCAAGACGACTGTGCGGTAATGTGCAATCGGTGTCCAAGTGGTATGCTTGACGTTTTATGAATGTAGGCAAGTAGGCTCCCGCCGATCAACGCTCGACCGCACGCGCGCACACGTGGAGTGTCCAAGTCAAAAGGATCAACCGGTTAGCCGGGCGCGGCCGCCGGCTATTCGTCCAGTTTGCGAATCCAGTACTTTGTGTACGCGATCTTTGTATATACGATAATATCTAAAATCGAACGGTTACGATCATTTGACCGATTTCTTGGAATTTTTCCTCCGAGTCGCCTTCGATCAATTCTGTCGTGAAAGAATAAAAATGTTGAATGGATGTTTGTTCAGACAATCTGCGTTCAGTAGGCTCGATTTTCTTTTTTTTTTTTTTTTTTTTTTTAATAAAACATATTTAACGCTGTAATCCAAGAATTAACAGTGTCTCAAATGTATAATTAATTGCCTTTACGACGTAGATGCCAACTAAATCGGAAGCAGCTCTGGAGAGGCAGCCGCGAAAACCACAGTCATTAGATCGTAGCATATATTATATTATTCTGCGTCTGCAATTCGTGTCACAATAAACCACGACACCTGTTCTTTCTCTTACGAGCAGCTTGTACACGAATAAAAATCACCAGCTGTTTACCCGTCTCCCGTTTCGCGCTAACCATGAATCGGGCATACCGAAGATACGGCACGATGCCAAATACGTATAACGGTTCAGTCGACATTGTAATTCCGAAGTCGGGCATTCGCATAATCAGCAACCTAATAGCGACCTATATAGAAAGGACCTAGACACTTTTCTGTTTCCTTGTCCCCCTTTCTCATTATCTTCTCTTTCACATAACGGACATCCAGAAAGACGTCGCGTCGTAAATAATGTATCCACTAACATGCGAAAAAAAGTCGGACGGATCGATGCGTCGACGAATTTATACGTTAGTTCTTGTTTTAGACTCTAATGGATTTATTAACACCGTTCCATCATCTAATGTTTTTTTCTTTTATTTTCTTTTTTAGGTCTCATTTCGCTTAGTTATCTCGCTCTAAAAATTCTACACAACGATGCGTGTATCAATCAGAGTGATCTCTCAGATTTAACGATACTTAATCATGCGTTGAAAATCGCCAGCGATCTCCTTAATAAATTAAAACGGAGCTTGGATATATCCGATCGCAGGAATAGCAATAGGCAATGTAATAATACACGGAGAGAATTTTTTCTTAGAATTTACCCTGAAAATATGATAGACTTTTAATGTAAATCTCTCTCTCATTCATTAATAATAACTGCAACGAAGTATAAAATAAGTTTGATTAATTTTACTGAAGTGCATGGTAAAAACTTTTAAAATATTATATTGCACTGCAACACTACCATATTTTCGGGATCTTAAAAAACATTTTAAAAGAAAATTCCGTGTCCGCACACAATCTATTATAAACTAATTGTTTCGCAATACAGCGGTATGGTAATTAAATGTAATAAAAGTAGGCCTACTCGATCGGTCTTCTCTTACATTTTGTATGCGACCAAAAGAGAGAACACGTTTACGTAAGAGATACGATAAAAGAAATCTTGTGTCAATTTTTAATAAATAAATAAATAAAAATGCATGCCCGATGACAAATCTCAACGTAAAAGTGTAATTACAATTTATGAATATAATATTTCACACAAATGTTGTTAATAGCAGTACCAAAACTTGTGCTTTGCAAATTGACGTAATTTCGAAATTTAAATAACAGTATGTACTTTAGAGCCGTTCTGTCAACTACCGTCAATACAGATCTATTCCTCTTATTCGGCAAACAACACGCCGCGCACACGCGTGATTGTACATATCGTAAAAAATTCACGGTACACTTCCTCTAGTATGCTCCACCTCGTTTGGTTCCACCGTTTGCACAGCGGTATATACGAAATTACACGCTTTTTAATTATCGTGCAATTTTAATTGATAAAATAGCAGTCGATTGCGCAACAAAATGTTGCACTGTGTTTTTCTCCCCGTTTTCTACACTTGCGCCGCACGTTAATTACTGCTTTACATTTGTGTTTACGCAATTGTAACAATAGAATGCGGAAAAATTATATAATACATTTAAAAGAATTTCTCCCGATCTTATAGAACAGGTACGTCGGACAATATCGCGCAGCCGTAACATATTCGCTGGAGTGAAAACAGTCACCACGTGGTTGATTGCGAGTATCGTGCCGCGTCTCCTACAGCGCGACGTATAATTTCTCTCAATGAGCCCGTACTCGGCCGTTATTAACGCATTAACGAGGCGCGAAACGATGACGTGCGACTTGCCTCTAATAACTTAATCAGTGACGTGGCGCTAATTGGATTACGTCCTGTGCAACGTAGCTGGTCGTTAACCGCCGTGCATACGTCCGCTGGACTCAAGAAGCGCGTTTGATAGCCGCGAATTATCTATAACGATGTTTTCATCGTACTCACGCGAGGAACGGAGAACCGTGGAATATTTGGGAATTTAATTCGCGGTGTATTTCGTACATTATAATCGGGGATCGAGAGCAAAATAAACGCACGCACAGAGGTGCGTTTCGCAATATTTTTTGGCGATTTTTTTTTTACATCAGTTTCATGTGTTAGTCTCGAATTTATGAGTGGCAGATAACGTTTTATCGGATTTTTTTTCTCTCTTTTCGAAACATTAAATACGGTACAGGGGAAAATGAGTCAAACAATTTCAGAATAGCAATACGAATGGTAGATGTGAGTGACTGAATGCACAATATACAATAATCTCCTAACTTAATATTGGCGGCGCGATGATATCTTACTTTGTTTTATCGAACCGATACAGCCCAAGCAAATCCGGATGCGAGTAGTTGCCAACGTGCTCGATTCTCCTTCGGTTGTCGGACGAGCGAAGAACTGAATGAATCGCTACATCGATCTCTAAATCGTTGTCGAAACGGTCAGTTCCCGGCGCACATTCGCTCGATCTCGCACGCTCCGATGGTCCGCGAATATTGAAGATGAGCAATTGACAAGCGTGTCTGTATAGTGAGGCGCAAGGATTATCGATATTTCCCTCGAACTCG